GATGCCCAATGCCTTCTTAAGGGCTCCGTTTCTGCAGCAACTTCGGTGGAATTGCTCCGATTTCACTCCTGTGTGCACGGCACAAATCAGGAAATCTGACCGCTTGCACAGAGATTAATTGCAAATTGTGGCTAAACAGAACTGGCAGAGAGGTCCTCTGGTTTTTATAAGGAGCACTCCATTCAAAACGGGAGGAGGTAGAATAACATATGTCATTTTTTATATATATATATGGAAGATCAAATCCGGCAGCCTCTCCAAAAACGAAATAATGGGAATTCCCATTGTAAATGCAATTTTTTTTTTAAAAGGGGGGGGGGAATTACACAAGGCATTTTCCCCTCAATGAAATCAGTTATCAGTTGGAAGCAGGACACAGCACTTTTCCAAAACCCATCTCTCTGATCAATTACCTTTGAGCTAAGAAGTATTTTATGCCAAGGTATCCTAAATGGAAGAATTTTCCTATTTCTCCAGAAGCAAGAAGGGAGAAGAAGCTGGGGCCTCCTTCCATAAACCCTCTCTTCTTCTACCAGTCTTCAACCCAAAGCGAAATAAAACAGATGGGAAGATAAAGCCCTTCTAAAGGGGGGGACAGGGGGACACAGCTGTGTTTCCTTTTGTTTCTTAATGGAAAAAGCAACTGAGCTTTAACTATAATTAAGCTGCTGGACACCATTTTAATGACAACTTGAAGTTACAGTGATCTGGAAAAGATAGCTTCTGATCATAGCAAGAGAGATCCTGAAATGATGGGGGAAGCTCCTGACTTCCAGGGAAGAAAAAAAAGAGAGAGATCTCTTAACAGTTTGACATTTTGGACACATCCCAGCGTGATTTGGAAATGCAGATCATACAATCACCGGTCTGGAAGGGACCCTGGAGGTCTTCTAGTCCAACCCCCTGCTCAAGGCAGAGCCTTATACCATCCTGGTCAAATGGGTTCTCCAATCTATTTTTGAAAACCTCCAGTGATGGAGTGATGGACCCATAACTCGGTGAGGTGAGCTATTCTATCGATTAATTGTTCTCATTGCCAGGAAATTCCTTTTTAATTCCAGGTTGCTTCTCTCCCTGATTAGTTTCCATCCGTTGCTTCTTCTCCTGCCTTCAGGGGCTTTGGAGAATAGCTTGACTCCTGCTTCTCTGTGACAGCCCCTCTCACTTCTGTGCTAGGAGGAATGCATCACCCTCCTCACTTTTAATATACCTTTATGTCTCTTTTAATTGGGGCGTAATGGCTTAATCTGATTTCTGCTTCAAGGCCATTTGGCAATGCTCAATTGCGGGTTACTGAGCTGCAGAATTAAATAAGGAATACATATCCTAAAAGCACATTCCAAAAGTTGTATAGCACAGAAGATTCCCATTGGAAATGTTGGAGCTGGATGACTATCCTGATGGGAAGTTGCCTTAGTTATGTTAAGAACTAAAGTATGTATCCATGTATCCTTCCTTCCTTCCTTCCTTCCTTCCTTCCTTCCTTCCTTCCTTCCTATCTATCTATCTATCTATCTATCTATCTATCTATCTATCTATCTATCTATCTATCTATCTATCTATCTATCTATCTATCATCTATCTATCTATCTATCTATCTATCTATCTATCTATCTATCTATCTATCTATCTATCTATCTATCATATTTGTATAGCCACCCACCTTGCATGAAACTGACTCTAGACAGCATACAGCACTTAATTTTTTTTAAAAAAATCAATGAATACATAAAAGCAGTGGCAATTAAAAAATAACTGTAAAAAGACACACAAAACAGAAGTGGATGGTGTATAATAAGGGAGCTAATGAAATTTTCCCTGGTGCCCTGGAGCCCCCAGGCCTGATAATATAGCCAGGTCTCCTGGGATTTGCAGAATGTTGAGAAGGTTAGAGCTAATTTCATTAATACACGATAATTTAGCCAACAGTGCATTTCTTTAGTTAATGCTACCTAATTTTTTTTGTCTGTCCTGGGAATGCTGGTTTCACTGCCATCACCAATCACTGTTATTAAGCTATCATACTATAATGGGTAGAGTTTGAGTAGGGCCAGGGAAATCCAGGCGTTGTCCAAGCTCAAAGTCCATCTTAGAAACTCACCAAACAGACATTTGAGCCAGTCAGTTTCTCTCGGCTCAGCCTACCTCGCAGGATTGTTTTACTCTGTATGGCCAACCGAGCTTGCGAAGAAAAAGTGAGCTGTAATTCCAACAAATGCATAAATATAAACAAAAAATCTGTAGCACTGCCAAGTTTATCAAATGGTGTTTACCCCCCAGAAAGTCAATCCGAATCAAGTTACGCTGGACATGGGTGCCTCAAAATTCCATGTCAAAGGGAGCGAAAGCAAGGCAATTCTGTAGTATAAAAACCATGGGGGGGGGAGGAGGAATTCGATACACCTAAAGCCCTCCATTAATTCTAAAAAAAGAGAATGAAAGCAATATTTTAATTAGAGGCAATTAACAGGCACAATTTACCTCTTCTGCACAGTTTGTGAAAGAGCTTTTATGAATGGAGAAACAGAAGCAAAGAGGTCAACTGCGCAGAGCGGATTCTCAAGGAATTTAACAATGTTACTAAAAAAAAAAAAAATATCACAGTTTTGATAGTTGAGTTGGAGGGGGGACTTCGCAAATTTACAACAAAACTGTCAAGCAATTAAGGCAAGATACTTTGCACATGAACTTTAACTGCTAATTAAAAAGAAACCCTTGCTTAATTGCCCGCATTTGCATCGCGTTCAACTGAAAATGCATAAATGGCTTGGGTAACATTTGATATGCCTCCCAGCATTCTGCAGTTAAGACTGCAGGTTTTTAAAAAAAAACCACACAAAAAAACAAACAAACAAACAAACAGGAGGCATGGGGCAAGATGAAAAACTTCCCAAGGGAAAAGAAGGTGTTGTAATATTGTATATTCATAATTTTTTTTTTTTCTTCAACAACCAAGAGGGAAGGCCCTAACGTTGAAGACGTGGGGAAGGCTGCTTTTGGAAAAACAAACAGCAAACAAAACCTCAGTGGAATAAACATAAATAAAAGGCCACTAAAGCCACCAGCGTACCAGCTGTGTACACCCAGTCACAACATCCTTTGTCATCGTAAAATGTTTTTCTACCAGGAAGGTTTATTTTTCCTTCCCTCCCACAAAGAGCTCCTGGATTTGGCCCTGCGGAACGGCTTTGCCTGCCCAGGGTGGACTACAAATCCCATGCTTATACTTTACGACCCTTGCTGTGTCCCAAGGTCACGTGAGGCCCTTTTGCAACCTTCTGATAAGCAAAGTCAACGGGGGAAGTCAGAGTCACTTAACAACCAGGTTACTTAACTCATCAACTGCAGCGATTCACTTAACAACGTGGCAAAAGAGGTCGTAAAACGGGGCAAAACTCACTTAACAAATGAGATATTGGGCTAAATTATGGTCGTTAAGTCGAGGACTACCTGTAGGGTTTCACCAGAGCATGATATGCTGGAGAGACACACACAAAGATAAAAATCTTCAAGTTCACTTCAACATCCAGGCAGGGTTTGGCAACCGTGGATAATAGTTTGCTACTGCCTCCCTTTCTAAGTCTAGATAGCCCTGGGCTCTCTTCCTGAGCGTCTCCTTTCTAAAAAAAAACCCTCATCCTTTAAAATAATTTAGCAATGTGCTGTCACTCACAGGATGTTCTCACCCTCTTAGGAATACCACGTAAACGTCTACAATTGAGGAGGCCCAGGATTCTGCAAAACCAACAAAAAAAACCAACAAGGAACCGCACTATTGTGCAATTTACCTTCACGGGTTGCATAAATGGTTTCCTAATTGTCTCAGCTGGAGCAAAGGAAGGGGGGAAAATCCACATGAAAAGGGCAAGATTGCATCTCCAGCCCTGATTCAGACATAATCCCAACAGTGGAGATCAAGAGACGTTCGTTTGAAGCGTTGCTCCATCCCAGATCAAACCTCCTGAAGACCGGAGTTTGGGTCTGTGGCTTCCAATTTTAACGTTCCGGCTTTCTTTTCGTCTCTCAACAGGCGCAAACACGCCTTCTCTTGCAAGTATGCTAGGTGCAACTAGTTTTGCAGCAACTACTGGGCTAATGAACCTGCTTTGGGGCACCCGAGAGTAGCGGTTACCAGTAGTGTTTAGCCCCCAAATTTTGGGGCATTAAAAGAAACCAAGCCAGGGTATCTTTTCCAACAGGGAGATGGGGAAAAGACTTCCCACAAAGGAAAAAATGAAATTCTCCCATGGATCTGGAGGTTAAAACATATGAAGAACGGTTGCAGGAGCTGGGTAACGTCTAGTCTAGTGAAAAGGAGGACCAGGGGTGACATGACAGCGGTATTCCAGTATTTGAGGGGCTGCCCCAAAGAAGAGGGGGGTCCACCTCTTCTCCAAAGCAACAGAAGGCAGCAGGACAAGAAGCAACGGAGGGAAACTAATCAAGGAGAGAAGCAACCTGGAACTAAGGAGGAATTTCTTGACAGTGAGAACAATTAGCCAGCAGAACAGAAGTTGCCTTCAGAAGTTGTGGGTGCTCCATCACGGGAGGCTTTTAAGAAAAAACCGGACAGCCACTTGTCCAGAACAGTATAGGGTCTCCTGCTTGTGCAGGGGGTTGGACTAGAACAGTGGTTCTCAACCTGTGGGTCGGGACCCCATTTGGGGTCGATCGACCATTTCACGGGGGTCGCCAAGCAAGGCTGTCCGCCATTTTTTTTCTCCGTCATTTTTTTTGTCCGCCATTTTTTCCCCTTTTCCGGTGGGTGCTTTACCTCCCTTGGGCTGGGCCAGCTGGTGGTCGGCCTGCTCCGTCTCTGCCGCTTGCCAGCTACGCCTCGGCCGGCGCAGGGGGCGGAACCACGCATGCTCCCGGGCAGGGAAAGTCCTTGACTTACGACCGGTTGGGTAATCCTTGACTTACAACCAGTTTAGTCCTCGACTTACGACCGGTTTGGGGTCACGGCATTAAAAAGGTTGAGAACCACTGGACTAGAAGACCTCCAAGGTCCCTTCTAACTCTTGTTATCTTGGGTATGAGATGATGAAGAAACACACCGTGCTTGTCTGACATTCTATCCTTGGCGTCTATCGAATGCCAAAGACAGGCCTAATGGGGAATTCTTCCTGTGGAGTTATTTGAGCTCCAGATGCACGGACAATCAAGAGTCTCGTCAAAGGAAAAAAATAAATGCAACAGCCATTTGGTCAGTTTGACACAATAAAGTCAGCCCCTGAAAGGAATTCCCTCCTCAGAATTAGGAGGAAAAACAGAAGCCTTTGCAGCTGAGGAAGAATACCCTCTAAGGCAGACCTGGGCATTTTACAGCCCCGGGGGCCACATCCGGCCCTTTGCCTGTCTCTGTCCAGCCTGCATGCCATACAGCTAGTCCTCTACCTATATAGTCCACTTCCCTAGTTCCTCTCCAACAGACTTTGCTTCCAAGTCCTTTTTACAAACAGCTCATTCAGGAGACGGGAAGTTCCAGGATGCACCAAGCCCTGTGCAGCGTCTGGGTGGTTGGGGGGGGGGAGGCAGACTCTAGGGCTGAGTCCAAAAGAGAAGGAAGAGAGGAGAGGAGGCAGCTGAAACTGGCACCCCAGCCTCACCGTTTTTCAGAGGATTATTGTTGTTGGGGAGAAGTAAAAAGAAAAAAAAAAGCGGAGAAATGCTGGTGGCTGGGAGAGACAAAAAGCTTTCCAAATTCGGGTTGGTGACTGACTGACCACAAAATATTCAACAAGCGGCCTCTCTCTCTCCGTGGCAAATGGTGCCAAAGCTGAAACAGACCCTAAAAAGCGTCTTCCATTCTAACCAGCAGACCAAATTTGGCAAGCCGCAGTCTGTTGTGGCAGATCATCACAAAAATCCTTGACACAAGGAATTTCTCCCCCCCACACTGGCACCTCCTAGGGGAAGGAGAAAACAAAAAGTATTGGTGGTGGGGGGGGAAACTGAATTCTCTCCTCCTTGCTTTCTATTTACAATGACATCCAGGTAGCGGGATGACTTAGTATACTGCAAAAAGACCCTCTTTTTTTGCCATTCAATCCTCCCCCCTCTTTTCTCCTTGCCCTGTGACATCACAATGGGTTTCTGAGGGAACTAATTGTGATGTCACAGAGGATTATGCTCAGGGAGATCCAGAGGGTCTGGGGAGGGGTGTGTGTGTGTGTGTGAAACAAAAGGGGGCTGTTTTCATGCAAATCGCCCTGCACAAAAAAAAACACACACAAAAAAAACAGAAGGCCTCTCTTTTCAGGGCTTGTGAATGACAGGCATGAATGGCCCCTGAAGAGACAGGCCAGTGAAATGTGCAACTCTCCAAAAGTCTTCGTAGGAAACCACAGCGCTCTTTGTGCGAAAAGCTTTTCCTGTCGTGAATTCTCAAGACAGCCCTTCTCAGTTCCCCCCCCACATATGTCCCAAAGATGCTTTTTCAGGCAGCAACTGGACTTTCTTATTTTTCTTTGAAGATGTTTCGCTTCTCATCCAAGAAGCTTCTTCAGCTCTGACTAGGTGGGTGGGGAATGGAAGGATTTATATTCCTTGCAGACAAGCTGGTCATTTGCATCCCCCCCCCTGTGTGGAATACCAGTTTCCCCTTTGTGTCTTCTTTTTTTGGGGGCATCCCTAGATTCCCAGCCCAATCCTTAGGGGGGAGGGAAAAACACAAATGGTGGTGTTGATTGGATGGGGAGCACTGAAAAAAGGGAGACGTGTTTGAAAAGAGATACTGTCAAGCTTCACACCAGACAGGGGGGGGGCTGTAAATCAACTCTCCAAACACTTTAAAAAGCCTTATCAGAAATTGGCTGACTTGGTGGAAGGCTCCCAGACACAATTCAGCAAGATTAGCTGCCTTGGTGAAGACAGGAATGACATCATATTCACAGAAGGCTTGCAAACTGTAGCACTGGGAAATCAAAGCTTTTACTACAGGCCTCTGCTCCACATTTTCAATTTTCTGCTTCCCCCCCCCCTCCTGCTGTTCTAAAGCAATGGACATTTGTCTAGTCTCCATTGTGGCCGTTCAGGGCTGGCTTATTTTCGTCAATGTGTGGATGGCCAGGGAAATGCCACTACGAGATCATCTTAAATTGAAAAGGCAGAAAACTCAAAACATACCCACAAAGTTGCTTGAGACTTGGATTCCAAGAGACTGGCAATTTCGGTATAAGGCGTTCTTACCAAACCCCTGAAAAATGGAAGTTAAAGCATTGCAACAATGGCCTAAAAAAAACAACACAAAAGGCAACAAGCACCCAAGTTGGCTACAATATATGTGCATATTTGTTAGCCCCAGACATTTCCTGCCAAACTTCTCATCCACCCAAACAAAAGAGGAAAGAGCAGGCTTCAAGAAAGGGAACTTAAAATTTCAAGCTGAATATTGTGACAGCAAGCAGAAATGTAGCTCGCAGAAAATCGAAATGGTTGTGTGCCAACTTAAGATGCAGGCTCTTGTCTTTTTTGGAAATAGCATACAAGGAAAATCTCCTCTAAGACACACTCCAGTCGCCACCGAGGCCCACCAATGTAATTTTATTGGGCCAAATAATGAAATGTTTTGTGTCAGGATTTTTGTTGTTGTTGTCCAATTTCTAGTCTATAAAGTATAAGCCAGCCCAATTTACATTTCTGGGCATGTTCTCTTTCTTTTCTAACCTAACTGGGCTGAATGTCTAAGTTTTGTCTTCCTTGGATTTATTTATTTTTTAAAAAAACAAAGCCTAAAGTACATCTTCTACAAACTACAAACCACACCAGAGGGACTCTGTGCGGTGAGAGCTCAAGAGTCTGGTATTATTTGCATGCTGCTCTTCGAAACCAGCTCACAGCACTCAAAAAAAATCACCCACTGCAGACAAACGTGACATTTTCCAGGAAAATAAAAGAAGCAAGCAATGTATTTCATTCACAATAATTTCACAGAAGGCAAGCTTAACCCCGATTAGCACTCGTTTCAGAACCGGGAGTTCTTTCTGGGAAATGTTTTTATGGGCAATGGAGCATTTTCCCCATGTTGCTTAAAATGCTCCATCATGTGTAAAAGGCAGAACAACACAAAATAAGCACTTGTAACTAAACCTCTGGGGGATTGGGAAAGCACTGGAAAGACAGCAAAACTGACATCAGTTGAAGCTGCCCCCCCCCAAAAAAGGGGGGGATGGTGTCATTCAGAAGCAAAGCATCCACTCTGCACATCAATAGTCTCAGATTTAATCTGGTTTTTTTTAGCACAGGGCTAGGAGGGAGGGAATATCCTGAAACTCTGAATGCTGATTCCACAAGACAGATTCCTGTTTAGCTGTGTGTTCGCATTAGTTTGTGTTTTTTTTTTAAAAATGTTTGACTTCTTGGAAAAGAAGTAGCTTCAATTTTTTGCTCAAAGTGCTGACAATCCCATTATTAGGGTGTGTCATTCCTCTAATTGCTTCAGCCATTAAGTGACTAAGAACATCCTTTGTTTTGTTGGGGGAAAAAAAAAACCTCTTTCCTTGGGCTCTGCAGCTTCTGTGAAGCAGCTTCTCCTCCTTCCACTAAATCTTGATCTAAGATCATGGAAATTTCTCTGGTAGGTGGGTTTTTCTGCCCCCAAGATCAGAAAGCAGGGTTAGCGGCTATGGCTGCAAACTGACGGAGAAAGAGAGAAAAAAATAGCAATACCTCAACTCAAGCCCCACTCGACAAAACTTTCTTTCTCAATCAACAGGAAACAACATCCAGGAAGTTGGGAGGATAGATTTCAGCAGAGGGGAAGTTCCTGTCTGAAAGTGGGCAAAAAAAATGAGCCTTCAAAGAAAAGCTTTCTCTAGTCTGTAAGTAACCAAAGAAAAAAAAAGGATTCTATGAAGCTTGCTTGGAGGCAGATTGTGGCTTGATTGATTAAGGGCCATTGTCTTGGTGTCCACTGTTAGGAACCAACACAAGGACTTTCTCCAAGAGGATCTGTCCTCATCCTTTAGGACTCTCAATGAAGCATTCATTGCTGCTGTAAATTGAATTTATCCTCCTTGAGGCTGGTCCAAATATAATACAGATAGTCCTCAACTTATAATAGTTGGCTTAGTAACCTTTCCAAGTCACAACGCCACTGAAAAAAGGGACTTACTTATGACCATTTTTCACACTTACGACCCCCTGGTCCTGTGATCAAAATTCAGCCGCTCGGCAACTGGTTCGTATTTACGACGGTCGCAGTGTCCCCCGGGGTCACGCGATCCCCCTTTTGCGACCGTCTGACGAGCAATGTCAACGGGGGAAGCCGGATTTCTTCAACAACCCGGGTTACTAACTTAACAACTGTGGCAAGACAGGACGCAAAATGGGGCAAAACTCACAACGTGTCTCACTTAACGACAGAACGGTCAGGCTCAACTGTGGCCGTAAGTCGAGGGCGACCTGTAATCTGTGCCTGGTCGTTCATCCTTCAAGCTGGAACTCTGGATATATTTGTTCTAGCTATATGTTTTCCTGGCTATCCACGGTATTCTTAAACACCCACATATGCAAAGGCTGTTAATGCTCTTTCCTGCTTTTTTAACATCCATTTTTTGCCTCCAAAGAGCATGAAAAGGAAACCCAATACACAACAGATCACCAGAAAAAAAAAAAGGTTTCTAATCATTACACCAGAAACAGGAAATGGGCTTGCCCACAACTCAATTGAATAGTTATTGGGCTTCAAACTAGGGTTTTTTCCCCCAAAAGATTTACTCCCAACGCTTGCTGGTTCTACCACATTGTACAAATATTCTCCCTAACAGCCCCTTGCTTAGAGGGAGGCCACAAAGATGAGAAGCAAGAGGGAGGAGGTGGAGTGTATCTTATTGCTACAGTCTATTAATTAAGGATATATTTCACGGTTATAAAGGGGATTCTGAAAATGCTACGACAGCATTTGCCATTGGTGCTTTTCTTGTTGAACCATGCATAGTGAGAAATTCACTTCTGAAGGTGGAGAGTAGGGCTACCAGAGGTGGCTTCCAAAAATCCACATGGCTGTTAGAAGGCAGGGAACAAAACACTGTACGGGGGGAAAAAATTCTAACTCATTGTTCTCCAGTGATCACAGATTATTGAAGATCAGAGCAGAGAGCTGTGGGTGAGGAATAAACAAACACATAGGTAAGGCACATATTTTCATGGCTATTTGCTCGCCACTACAAGTCTTGTAGCCTCAGTACAGTGCAACGCTTCTGAAAAGTAATCCCTATAGCAGAGAGTGTGTTTGATCTCTGACGTCTCTCAGAACCCACAATGTGTTACACTGAAACACTGCCCAGGGTGCTAGACTTTGCTTTGACCGACTTGCAGAAAAAGTGTACCTTAAAAAAAGGAAGTGGCATCATTTCACTTCCCCGAAGGCCTCTGGGCATCCATAAAACATAAAAATACTGAATGACTGCAGGCCATGTCTGTAGCCGGAAGTTTTGTCAGCTGTTCAAAAAAAAAAAAAAAAGTACGGTAACCTGGGATACCAGAATTATTGCCAGAAATTTGCCAACCTTGCTTATTGCAGATCCCTATAGTGCTCTGCTTACAAATAACTTTGGATGCCCTTCTGAATTTCAAACCAACTAGCTGAGATTCACAACAGGAACCATAACTCTAGTTTACAAAATACAGTAGCTGGTTGATTGCAGACAAATCCAAAGGAAGGGTCTAATGTGGAATCCTAGCTACCCCGATAAACCTCAGTTAAAGAAGACTATTTCCTTAATTCACTGGCGATAATCAACCTATTCCTTATAAAACTACATGAAGAGACGTGAATAGCAAGCAAGAACAGAAGTGATGCAGTTTTTTTTTTAAACCTGCTGCTGCTTTTCAAAGTCAAAATGCAGTTTCGGCTTCACAGCTTAAACTCATGACAAACACAAAATGCCCAAAATGTTTATTTTGGCTTGAAGTTTGCATCATTTAACAACGAGAGGGGTGGAAGGAAGCAAATGATGCAAGCCTTGAGAAAATGAGACGGTTGTGATAGTTGGTGCAACCGTTTGTGTGTGCAGAAGAGGGGAAATTAGAAGGGAGAATAAAAGTGTGATGGAAACTCCAGAAATCAAAATTCAAAAGATGGTTTCTGCAAAATTCCAAAGCAGCTACTAAACCTGCACCTGAAGCTGGAAGGGTTACTGTCTGCATCCTTCAACATACTGGAGCTTCTGTTATATTTCACCCAGACTTCCGAACACTTTAACATCCTGTCTGCTGCTTCAATGCCCTTACTCAACTGTTTGAGACAGACATTACACAAACTGGCTAGCCAAAAAAAAAAAGGGATTGGGAAACCAAGAGGCAATTAAGAGTCTGTGACCTTATCCTTTTAAGGTGATACCGCTGACTTGAGCAGAACTTTGCAGAACAAACCAAAAAGAGAAAGGAGGAAGAAAAGAAGGATGCAAAATGTCTTTTGTATTGATCGAGGCACACAATTCCACCGGAATCCAATCAGCTGGGTTTTTTTTTCCTTCTTCTTGCGTCTGCTCAACTGTTATTTTATTATTATTTATTGGTGACCGATACTGTTATTCAACTCTAAAGCCACGAGCAAAAAAAAAAAATAAAAAATTCTGTCATTCTCTCTGGGCATGTTTCCACACCTCAACCACAAAGATTCAAGAGGTCTCTAGATATTTCCTTTAAACCTTTGGAAAGGAAGTTGTGTTTCACATATTTCCATTACAACAAAATGCTTACATTCTATAATATTCCCTGAACAGGATTCCTTGAAAGTCAAATAGAATATCCTGATAGGCGAGTACTAATTTTTCCTATATATTTATTTATTTATTCCATATGGTATAAACGGGCCTTCTTTATACTGACACCTTACCCTCAATTACAGCCTTTCGTTTAGTGACCGTTCAAACTGTGACTTATGACCATTTTTTCATACTTACGACTATTGCAGCCCCACGGTCACGTGATCAAAATCGGCCACTTGGCAACTGGCATGTACTTATGACGGTTGCAGTGTCCCAAGGTCACGTGATCCCCTTTTGCAAGCTTCTGACAAGCAAAGTCAGTGGGGGAAGCCAGATTCCTTTAACAAGTGATTTATTTAACAACTGCAGTGAGGAAAGTCATAACATGGGGCAAAAGTCACTTAAGAACTGTCTCGCTTAGCAACATAAATGTTGGGCTCCATTGTGGTTATAAGTACTACCTGTAAATGTGCACATCTGCATCTCTTCTCCATACAACGTGACCTATGGCAGGGGTAGGCAACCTTGGCTCTATTATGACTCGTGGACTTCAAATCCCAGAATTCCTGAGCCAGCACACCATTGCAGTTTAACAGAGTATAAACCCAGCCAGAGCCACCTATCCCATTAAGTCCAAATAGCCTGGCTGATGCAAAACTAAGCTATAAATCATGGCTTACAAAACATAACGGCTAAGTTTGCACAATACACTAAGCCAAAGCTCTATCTAGCTCAGTGCAAAATAAATAGTGTCTTGGTTTAGTGCTAGATGCAGATTCAATACAGCCTGGTGGTTTCAGCAGCCAGCCATAAAGCTTCAGAATTCTTGTTTTAATGTAAATTACAGGAAAGCACAGACAGATTAGTTCAACCTGGTATCTTTCTGATATTGTAGGCATCTACTCTAAGCTCCTTTAACCAGCATGCCAATGACAAAAAAGCTGCAAAGCAAAAGCACTTCAAAATGAGTGTTCCACAAGAGAAAGGGTTCTTTTTTTTTCAGACACATCAAACAAACACAAAATAGGAACCAGCCAGCTCTTGTCTGCAGTTGTTCAAAAAGTAAGCATATCACGGAAAAGGGAGAGAACCCAAGAAAAAGAAACACAGGCAAAAGAAACATACCACACTTTAGGAGGTGGGGGAAACACAGAAGAACAAAGTCCAGAAGTGGCTTTCCAAGATTTCAAAGTCCATATGGGAAAGATTGAATCCCAAGAAAAATAAAGAAAAAAGTTAAAACGGCCAGGAAGTGCCAAAAGAAATAAGACTGAACTCCAGCAGTAAATAATAAATAAAATATAGATCAGTGTTTCTCAGCCTCCACAACTTTCAGATGTGTGGACTTCAACTCCCAGAATTCCCCCGTCAGTACTAACTACTAAGTACAGGCAAGTCCTCAACTTACAACTCTTTGTTTCGTGGCCATTCAGAGTTACAATGGCGGTGAAAAAAGTGACTTGTAACCATTTTCACACTTAACGACGACTGCAGCATCCCGGTGGTCACATGACCAAAATTAAGACGCTTGGCACCTTGACTCGTATTTATGACGGTTGCAGCGTCCCAGGGTCACGTGATCAGTTTTTGCGACCTTCTGACAAGCAAAGACAATGGGGAAAGCCAGGTTCACTTAACAACCCCATTACTGACTTAACAACTGCAGTGACTCGCTTAACAACCGTGGGGAAAAAAGGTCGTAAAATGGGACTCGCTTAGCGAAAGAAATTTTCACCTCAATTGTGGTCGTAAGTCAAGGACTACTTATACCACTAAATGAAAGAGGGTAGAGAAGGAAACCAGATGTATCTAAGCTGCTAGTCCCTTCGTTCAGATGTATCTAAGCTGCTAGTCCCTTGATCGCTGGCCAAAATGGCCGAGACTGATGGGAACTGGACTCCACCAACTTTCCACTTTGGCCTCCAAACAAGTTGCTCTTCATATTGAAGAGTTAAGATTTGCTTCAAGGGGAAGCCCCAGCACAACGCAAACCCACACTCCACAACCACCACCCACACCCACATACACACTCCAAGAAGCACTTATAGGTTTGCAGGCTGTCGCAAGCAGTACAAGAACACCTAGCTAAGGGTAAAAACAGAAGTTAGCGCAGCCAAAATTCAGGCAAGCCCAGTGCAAGATTAAGTGGGATTTCCCCCCCTGCTCTACCCCCACCAGCATTTCCTCCCTCACGGACCTCAACTTTATTTCAATGTCATTTGTCTCCAGCCACAGAGGAAGAAGTCCACTCTATTATCACAATACAGTTTAAACTGTGGGGGTCTACCTGTCTCGTCTTCGCTCGTTTAAACCAAAGCAGATGGTATCAATTTTAGAACCACAGGAGGAAAATATTTCTACCAGCATTCATGGACATTTCCTAAAAGAGGAACACATCCACGAGCTTTATGGTACAGTGAAAAAAATAATAATGAGAAAGTGAACCACAGAAACACTCTCCAGACACACTGCTCGCTCATTGTCTGGAATAAGAGTCCACATGTTGGACTAGATGACCCTCATGGGCACTCCCAGGGATATTTGTTCATTTCCAAGTCATTCCCACCATTTGGGGATTATTTCGCAGCTCAAAAGCTTCGTTAAAAGGCTAGCTAGTCTCCAAAAGTGATGCTTTATGTGGCAGAGCAAGGATTCATACGAAGCTACATAATGTACATTCTAGTTTATACTCCTGGGTCACCCAAGAAATTTTTGATAACCCCCCCAAAAAATGCTAGGACTTACAATGAAAAGTATCCCCCACCCCCACCCCCCAAATACATCAGTTTTCACTGTTCCTCCTCTTCCTATTCATAACCCAGGACTCGGCACTCGGCAATGGCTACTTTTAGCACATGATTAGCCAAAGAGAGAGAAGCTATTAACGCTGCGTCCAGCCTGGTCTATGAGAGATAATGTGCAGCCTTTAGACTCCAATGTTCTGACAATAGCTCTCCCATTGACGCTCTGGGAGACGAGGGTGGAGGAAAGGAAAAGAAGGGGGGGGAAGTCCCCAGAAAATGGCTTCCTCTTCTTCAAAAAGTGGAAACTAAAGAGCAAACATAAGGAGGAAGTGAGGTTTTTTTTTTTAATTTGTCCCTTTGTTCTGCTCCTTTTAATTCTTTTTTTTTAATTTATTGGGCTCTTTGGTGCATGCTTTCTCCAGACTAGTGGCCTCAGAGTAGTGGGTGAGTGGGTGGGTTTCTCTAAACTATATAGATGCACAGGAATTTAAAGAGAAAAAGCCTTTACTGAGTGGGTCCCCCACCTCCACCTGCCAGCAATCAAGCGATTTTTCTTCAGATTTATAGATCTGTAAATCCCCATGGTTCAGAGCCAATTTGGCCATCCTGCACAGCTACAGAGCTAATTGAAAATTTCTTCCCTTTCGCATTACATTTTACTCTTGTTTTTTAAGGCAACGACGGGGAGGAAGACTAAATCGCTGGACCATCCACAAATTTATTTATTTTTTCAAGAGACCCACAAACCTTTCTACTTTATTCCCCAGGCCTGATGCCAAGGCAGGGCTTCCGCACCGCACCACTTTCTCACCCAACCGCCAACCCCAGGGATTCTGGGAACTGAACACGGTTGCAGATGAAATAAAGAGGATATTGTACCAATGTACTCTTCAAGCTGTCTGGCTGGGCAGACTCCCCAGCCAGTTGCCTGGCTGGCATGGTTGAAAAGTAACTGTAGCAGCCCAGACTAGGACACATTGATTTCCGGAGTGTATATTTAACCCATGCACAAAAATTGTTGGCAAGACAGCCACAAGCAGACAATGCTGAGCATCAAAAATAAACAGTCTGTGCACACACATCTTAAACCCCAACTGTGTTTATAAGTGCATTGAATTAATACAATCAGAATCACTCCGCTTGTGTGTTTAGTGATGGGTTAAAATTTCTCCCTATGTGAAATGCTAAAGAGACAGACTGCTGGAGGGGGGGGGGGACCACTTTGGATTTCTTCAAATCAGCAATAATGGATAATATGGCAACTCTCTCCCCTGTTTGGTAAATTGGAAGGGCGAGAGATTAATTAACTCCTTCTTTCTTTTAAAGTTCATGCACTTTATAGAGTCCTGAGATTTACTGCAGATCGATGAAAACTACAGTCGGAACACACCACGCAATATAATTCTCCATTTTTAAGAAATGCCCCTGCAGCAAAGCAAACCTTTTCTGTGTGCCCTATGTAAATTTAACCATAAAATACAACATAGAGGACAGACCAGAAACCAGAAAGGCAAGGGCATATAAGAATGCAGAAAGACACAACGGCTAACGGCACATCTTTTCTTTGACCCAAGGACGCAGGCACAACTGATTCCAATTTTGAGACTCCCGCTGTATTCCCCAAATTAAAAAGACAAGGGACTTATTTTGATAGAAAAAGTCACTGCATTCAGGTAGTTCCCAAAGATGGACAAAACACTTCATGCAGAGTCTCCCAAATCTGTATCTTTCCACTTAATTTTTACTTGCAAACCTCATCTAGAGTTCTGATGTGTCCTTTTTTTTTTTTTTTGCACATCTGTAAACCTCATTTACACACCAAGAGTTCTGCTTCACCCACATTACTGCAAACTGAGTTTTGGCACAGCATAAGCCTCCGCTGTGTGCACAAAGCCAATTTTTGAGATTCACACACACAGAGACACAAGCCAGAAGTACAGCTACAGGCTTACTTAAAAGCCAGCCCTTCCCATCCCCAGGAAAGGCACGTAGCTTGGATTTACACTTCATCTTTTTACCCAAGCAAATACTCCAGACAACTTGCTTCCAAATGGAAAAAAGACCACCTGGCACAGCACAACTGCCTTAAGCAGATCCAAGAACATCATCTACGTTCACTCACAGTCCTCAGATAAGTCATGTGAACTCCAGAAAGGTCGGAATCCCCATAAGCCCCAACCAGGGAGCAGGGTAGAAAAACTGACCCACGCCTGATAAGGGAGTTTGATGGATTGGCTATATCCAATGTTTGCCAAGATGCGAATGTGCCAAGCACAAGCAACCTCGCCCCTTGCAGGACTTTGGGCTTACAGTTCGAATCTTGCTTTGACACCAACCACACCAGATCCGCTGAAGTCCCAAATGCCCGGCATTATCCTGGAGCCTTCTCTCGAAGGAGCCACCTGGCTCCAAGTCCGTTTCCCCTCCCCCCCCCCAAAAAAATAGAGATCTCTGGCCTCCCCACAGCCCTGGCTCACCCTGGGCGCCTTCCTCTTGTACCGATGGCTGTAGTCGAACTTCTCCTTCATCTGGTCCAGGCACTGGCTCAGCCTGGCTTTCTCCTCCTTGCCGGCATAATCCTGGCTGAGGAGGATGTAGGCTCGCCAGTTGGCCGAGTCGAAGCCCCAGTGGCAAGTTCGGTTCTCCAGGGCTTTGTGGGAATGGATGACAAACTTGTGCGGCGGGTACATGAGCCGGCAGTCCAGGCACTGGATGCAGGGGGCGCTGGGGCTGCTGTAGAGCTCGGGCACCAGCAGGCCCTTACACTTGCCAAAGCACTCGTGGTAGACTTTGAAGCTGCGCTCGGTCAGCTCCAGTTCCAGCTCCAGGGCGCTGCCCCCGCCGCCGGCCAGCTCCTTCTTGCAGCGGCCAGGCGGGAAGGCGCCCCCGTAGAGTAAGGCGTTGCAGAGGCGCTCCGCGTCGGTCTTGGTGATGAGGCCGCAGGAGGGCGCCGAGAAGGGCAGGATGCCCATGACTTTGAGGATCTCCAGCTGGTCGGCGGTGCAGCGGGAGCAGTAGACGTGCAGCTCGTCGCAGACCGAGTTGATCTGCTGGAGCGAGAAGTCGCGCAGGACCGAGTTGAGGATCTGGGGCAGGCAGAGGCGCTTCTCGCCGCCCACCACGAAGCAGGAGATGGTCTCACCTTCCAGGACGGTCTCGCAGCGCTCCGTCGAGCGGTCCGACGGCATGAAGAAGGGGCCCGGCATCACCGGCGGCGGGGGCGGCGGGATGGGGGGCAGCGGCGGCAGGGGCGGCTCGGGGCCCACGGAGGAAGCCGCCACCGCCGCCGCCTCCTTGGCGCTCTCGCGCTTGTACAGCTCCTGCGCCCAGCGGGCCGAGAAGGCGGCCGGCCCGCCCAGCGAGCTCATGGAGCTGAGATGAAACTGCTCCAGGGTCTTCTGCAGGCCGGGGTGAGGCTGGAAGCCGCTCCGAGGGACCGTCTCCATCTTCGGCGGCTTGCCGGCCCCCCCGCGTCCCTGGTTCCTGCGGCGCCGAATTTTTCCTTTGGCCTGGGGGGCCCCCCGGAAAACGCGCCCCAATTCCAGCCTCGGGGAAGAAGAGGCGTCCTCTCTCTCCGGCGGGGCGGGCTCCTCCAAGAGGGGAGGAAAGGCGAGCGCAAGGCAGACGGCGGAGGGTGGGGGGCACGAAAAAAAACCACAGCCCCCCCCCAAGCCGCCCTTCTTGGTTCCGATGGGACGCCGCTGTCCTCTAAAGCCGGAGGGGCGAGCGCCACCAAATCTCACATTTCCCGTCTTTCTTCCTCGGGATGCGCGGGCGCTTCTTCTTCTTCTTTGGCTCCTCCGCTCTTCCCCAACGCCCCTGGCCTCCCAACTTTCAGGGAGGGGGGGAAAAGGAATTTCTCTCTCTCTCTCTCGGCCCCCGGAGCCAAACCAGCCAAAGAGCCAAAAAACAGGGGAGGGGAAAGCGAAAGGGAGAGAGAGAGAGAAAACTAGATCTTCGGGGAAGGGGCGGGGGGAGAGGGAAAAGTTATAAAAAGAAGGGGCGAGAGGGAAAGCGCTCCCGGCCGAGCCAGCGAGGTCCGCCCGACGCTGGTGTGTGGGGGGGGGAGACGCACTCGCTCCCGCTGCCCCCGCGGGGAGAAGAAAAAAAAAAAGCCCTCTCCCCCCACCCCCCAAAAATAGCCACCCGGGGGGGGGGATATAACCGCAGACCGATCTGGAGGAGAGAGGGAGGGGGGAGTCAAAAAAAAAATAAAGCTGGGTGGGTGGGAGGCTGTTAGCAACCCCGGGGCGCGCCGTCCGAGGTCCAAGCAGCAACTCCTGGCGGCGGGGAAGCGGCTGCCTTTCTGTCCATGGCCCCCTTCGCAGATCGGGCAGAGAGAGGGGGGGGAGGCAGCGGGGTCCCGGATCGTCCCCTTCCCCAGCCGCGAGGGCTTTCTCCGCTGGCCGCCTCCGAACCGGGGGAAGCGCCGCCGCTGCTGCTGCTGCTGCGGCTTCTGCTGTCTGGCGCGGACCGGGTGGCCTTTGATCGCGGCTGCGCCTTCCGCCCCTCTGTCTCGGCGCCCGGCCCTGCTCACCTTCGCTCGTCTGCCCGCTCCAGCCCGGACTGAGGACGATCGGGCTGGCGGGCGGGCTGGGCGCTGCTGCTGCTGCTCCTCCTCCTCCTTTCCGTCCGCCGCCGCCGCCGCCGCCTCCTCCCCTCTGTTTGTTGGTGTCTGCTCAGCTCTTGAATGCCAGCCAAGAATGTGACCAACTCCCCAGGCTGGGCTCTTCCAGGAACCGGCGCCGCCTCCCCCCGCCTCGCTGCGCCTCCGCCTCCGCCTCCTCGTTCCGCAAAAGGCGAGCGAAGCCACGCACATGCGCGCGGGCGCGCCGACCAGACAGAGCGCAAAAGGGAGGGGGGGTGGGTGGGAGAAGAGCAGCCCGGCTGGACGGCGAAGAGCGAGCTGCCTGCCAGAGGGAGGGAGGGAGAGAGGAGGAGGATAAAGCCTGCGGTTGCCAGACCTCAGGCCTGCGCAGAAAGGCGAGCGGCAGGGCAGGCTTTTGGCGCTTGGCTTCCTTGAAAGGAAAGGGTGGGGGGGGGAGTTTGCAGGTGGAAGCACGTGGGATGCTCAGGCATGCAGGCACGGAGGACCGCCCACAGCCCAGGTGTAAAGGGGGACAGGTGTGGGTCACCCCAGGCCTCTAGGGCTAGCCAGGCGTCCCTTTACACAAGCCGCTTTGGCAGGGATTCATCCTCCCCTGGGCGGGAAGGATAAATGCAGGAGGAAGACACACGGATCCGTGTGGCTCTTCCATGACGGATGCCAAAGCCGCTACCGTGTGGTAGAGCCGGTTCTGCAACCGACACGCATGTCAGGGCTCACCTCCTCAGTGTCCTTTGCAAAAAAAAAAAGGTGGCTGGAGGGAGGGGGGGAGAGGGCGGGCAAAGATGAAGGCGAATCGATTGTTAGAAAGATCTGGTCGAGGCCAGCTAAACGGTACCTGGGGGTAGCGAGGCCTAGTGGCTTGGCATGGGCTCAGTCAAAGAAAACTCGCTGGGGGAGGAGGGAGGTTTGATTCTTTTCGACCTACCTCACAGGGCCGTCGTTGACGAGTCGTCTCAGGAGCATCGCCTGGAGTTCCTGGAGAAAAAACAAGCCCAAAATTAAACCTCAACGAAGGAGCAAATTGCAGGATATATATATATATATATATACAATGGAGCCTAAGTTAACCCTGGGGGAAATATATTGCCAGCCCCACTGCAAAAGGCATACAGCCGAATTCAGGAAGTGGAATGTGGGAAAGATAATCTGTGGTTAAACCTCTGATCTCCCTCCAGCTCAGATGCACCCTAATAGAGGTAGTCCTTGAGTTAGAACTGCTCGTTTAGCGACAGTTTGAAGTTACAAAGGCACTGAGAAAAGTGACCTAGGACCGTTTTTCTAACTTACGATCGTTGTTACAGCATCCTCATATTTTAATTCATTAGTTTATACCTGCAGCCTCAAAAAAGCCCCACATTTTCAGCAGGAGTTCTACCATCCATAACTGTCTCACCGAAACAGCAGCGTTTTATATTTTGTAGCCACTTTCTCTTGGCCCCAGGTAAACAAACTCTATATTCTTTTTCAATGTTACACTATTTATTATGGCGCTGTAAAAAAACAAATGCAAAGGTTTCCTTGTATTTTAAAGGCGAGGCAAAACGTGCAGAGATTAAATCTGCCCTGGGGGAAGAGGCAGTAAACTGAACAGTCTTTTTTAAGATGACAGAATTAATTTGCCCGTCCTCCTAATATTTAATATAGAAGATGCTCACCTTTCTTATCTCAATTTATGTGAGACTCATGGGAAAGATCACCCCCTACTGGTGTGGATTTCAAACTGTGAGATTCTGAGTGTGAACCTTTTCCTCCTCCTCCTGCATGCACCACACAAGAGTCAGTTGTGACATGACAGAGTTATTTCGTGCAGATGCTACAGCTGGTCCTCCACAACGGAGGCCAACATTTCTGTTGCCAAGTGAAAATTTGCTAAATGAATTTTGCCCCATTGTAATAATAATAATAATAATGATAAAGTTGGAAGGGACCTTGGAGGTCATCTATACGACCTTTCTTGCCACGGTTCTTAAATGGATCAGCGCAGTTGTTAAATTAGTCACACGGTTGTTTAGGTAAATCCGGCTTCCCCCACTGACTGTGCTTGTCAGACGGTCGCAAAAGGGAAACACTGCAACCGTCATAAATAGGAGTCAGCTGCCAAGCGTTTGAATTTTGATCACATGGCCACAGGTCACAATTGTGAAAAACGGTCCTACAATAAGTCATTTTTTTTCAGTGCGTTTGTAACTTTGAACGGTCACTAAATGAACTGTTGTAAGTCAAGGACTACCTGTATTTCTAAATGTTTTAATCATCCAGTGGAGTTTTTAAGCTCTGTTAAAGGTTCATGTCCCAGGAAAAGCCATGATGCTTGTTTCTGAAATCTTCAAATCTTAAAAAAGATCACCAACCAATGTAGGAAGCAAATGAAAAGGGCAACAGAGAAACTGCTTTAAATGACTTCCTAACAAGCTTGGGTTTGGCATAATTCCATTTTATCAGTTGCTGAACATCCGTGACTGCAACCCAGTTTCCATTTTGTCACCTAAACCCTGACTTTCAACATCTGACAAATAGACAAACTACGGGTGAGATAAGCCTTCGGCTGTTCTACCACGCCGACCCAGTATCTGGATCTACAAAATCCAGCTGTTGGGTTTAAGAAAAGACTCTCTGGGTCGGAAGAAATGGGGTGAAGGTTTGAATTCACGTTTTCTGTGGTGGCTGAATCCAGTGGCATTCATTGGACTTGAGAACACAAAGCATCTGAACTCACAGATGCCACAATGCAGCCTTTGTTTTGGTAACAATCCCAAACTGAGGTCCAGGAAGAAAACAACAGATTTTTATTTATTTATTTTAACCAACACAAATTTAACGCCCAGAACAAATGGCAGCAATTGGAAGGAAAAGATATTTGTAGCCTAGAATTTTAGAAAGGGCATCTCATTTGAGGTCCCCGAGCAACCGGGGCCCATCCAAGTGGTTTTAAAAATTTGCTCAAAATTAGGAAAGTATTTGCCCCACATTTGGGGAAGTTTACTCAGTATTATTCATGTTTCAATGACTTGAAACATGAGGTTTTAGGGAGACAGCCACAACTGCGTCTTTTGTGTTTAAGCGTCTTCACACTCAGTTCCTCTTATTTAAAAAGTTGATCTTCCATTTCCAGCACTCTCAACTAGGTTCAATGTACAGGTAGTCCTTAACTTACAACAGTTCGTTTAGTGACCGTTCAAAGTTGCAATGGCATTGAAAAAAGTGACTTAGGATGGTTTTTCACACTTACTATTGCGGCGTCCCCAGGGTCACGTGATCAAAATTCAGACACTTGGCAACTGACTCGTATTTATGACGGTTGCAGTGTGCCAGGGTCACGGGATCCCCTTTTGTGACCTTCTGACAAGCAAAGTCAAGGGGGGAAGCCCAGATTCACTTAACAACCGTGTTACTAACTTAACAGCTGCAGTGATTCACTTAACAATTGGCAGGTCATAAAGTGAAGCAAATTTCATTTAACAAATGTCTCACTTAGCAACAGAAAATTTGGGCTCGATTGTGGTCATCAACCGAGGACTGCCTGTATATACTTTCTGCACAAGCTCAAACACAACAGGTGGATAGGTGTAGACTCCCCCCCCTTCTTTTTTACACAAAACTGCTTATAAACATGCCCCAGGAAGTGGCCTCTGCTTTCAGCCTTAAAATCTAAAAGCGATGACACACGAGGAAATAGTGAAGGCGAGGAAGAAGGAGACGAGACAGTACAAATGATTAAAGCTGCAATTATGGCTGGTTAGGATGAGAATGAGGGAATGGCTGCCCACAACAGCAGACAAATAAACAAGCTTCACTTCTCTATTTCGATGGCATAAACAGATGGAAGAGAGGGAGGGA